TTTTAGCACGTGATATCTGAAGTGATCTAATTGTAAGAGAGAGAAGAATATCTGAATGTGAATGAACTGAATTTCGGCATTTGAGTGCAATTTTGCGAATCGAAATTTTTTCAAACCTCAAATGCACGAATGAGCACATGGAATATCCTTCATACCTTCCGTAAGCACCAACGAACGAAAAATACAAAGAACAATGCGCAATCAACTGCCTCGAATTTATCAACAATAAATCGATGTGAAGATTTGCTGATGAAACAAAGATAATTTTGTAAGAAATTACGCGCGAGCAGACGATTTGAAATGGTGGAACGTTTCGAGCCGAGGAGTGATCGCCGAAATTCAGCCACTGATGTCTGTCGCATACGTGCAGCTTCACTCGTCGAATTGAAACTATAAAAAATCAACGACTTTCATCCCCACCATAACATTTTCATTACAATAAAGCCAAGTATTAGTACTAATTCAAAATTTTCGACGACATCATTAATTCACAAACGAACAAAACTTCGAAGTGATTATGAATCTTTCTTTTTGAGTGAAGAGATCACGTGCGATACCTGAGTGAAAAAAAGACGATTAAATGAAAATGGATTCAACGAATACGACAAAGGCAGAGGTAATCTTCATCAATAAACCAACATCGCCGTTCGCATGATCGTTGACGGTCGTCCACTGTTCATTTTGACCAGATTTGACATTTCACGACACATTCGAAACAACATTTCACCCATCATCTGCTTCTCTTTTTCAGTCACCAACGTACACGACAGATTCATCTCGATTATCTTCTCAGAAACCGATGCGAATTCATCAGCCGACATATCGCCATACATTTCTGACAGCGAGATAGAGAATGCATAAAGCGATATTCACAATGATGTACACGACATAAAGAAAATCACAATCGCTTTTCAAAAAACCCGACCTGTTAACAGTTGAAGAGAAACCGTAAAAATTTTAACGAATTTCAACTGATTCACTCAACACTTTTGTTACTTTATTTTTGTGCATTTTCAAAATCAATCAAAAAAATGAAACAAGACTAATAACAACACATACTTAATCGACGATCCGTTAACCGTACACATGGTAGCGATTCTCCATTCCCATCGATTGTTTTCAATTTGAAATTATACTAAAATGGTTAACTATTCAGTTTCATGAAAAAATAGAAGAGAATTAAAACAAATAAAAAGGATTGAAAACATTATCGAACATGTCGA